ATAAATAAATAAATAAATAAATAAATAAATAAATAAATAAATAAATAAATAAATAAATAAAAACAAACAAACAAACAAACAAACAAACAAACAAACAAACAGCATGCAGCCCCCTCCCTTGCAAGTTAAGACGATCAGCTCAAGGATTTTGCAGAACTTTATTTTCCCAACAGCAGGGAGAAATTTTCATCCCATATAAACCAAACCCAGCAGTTTTCATCTGCATCAGAAGCAGGCCTTTTATAAAATTAATTGACCTTGAATGCTAATTCAGGATCAAGCCACTCCCAAGAATGACAGGTTACCCACCAGTAATTGTAGTTCTTCAAGTGAACCTCTGTGATTCACACCATGGGGTGATCCGTGCCTGCGTGGAGCCTCATCGGAAAGTGCTAGAGCTTCTGCTGTAGCAAAAAACACATTAAAATAAGGCACCTCCCCCCTCGTATAAGTACTTTGGCGCCAGTTGTGTTAACCTTTCAGTTGTGTCAACCACCGCTACATTAAGCAGAATGGCCAATTAGGGAGGAGGACAGGCGCGATGTGTGAATCACAATCCACTCAAAGAACTACAATTACAGGTGGGTAACATGTCGTTCTTCTTTGTGACCTCTATGAATCACACCCTGGGTGACTAAAAAGCTGTCTTACCTGGAGGCAGGGTGTCACACCAAGGTAGAGGCTAGAACAGCACGTCCAAAGGCCACATCAGACTTCTGCCGGAGATCAAGTCTATAATGCCGGATGAAAGTGGACGGCTGTGCCCAGGTGGCAGAGGCGCAGACGTCTGGAAGAGGTACGCTGCTTAGGAATGACATAGAGGTCGGCACTGCTCTGGTGGAGTGAGGGCGAATCACCTTCAGGACTGGTTTGCATGGCAGCTGATACACAAGGTGAATGGCTGAAGCGACCCATCTAGGTATGACTTATGAAAATTCAAGGCAAACAGCTGAAAGATTGGGTGCATTGGATGTAAAAGGCAAGGGCTCACCTAATGTATGGAGGATTCTTTATTGGGCTGTGGAAGGAAGGATA